CGCACCCGCGCTCGGGCCCGCGATGCCTGAGCGATGCCGCGCAAGGAACGGCGGCATCCACTCTGGCGAGTCGCGCGGCACCGCAGGGCGCGCCTCCGCGACGTCCTCCTCGTAGTCCGAGTAATCTGGCGCACTGCCGTCGTCCGCGCCGCGCAGGGCCGCGCGCTTGGCTGCGGCCACTTTCCCCCGCTCTTTCTCGGGGTTGGAGCTGTGCGAGCCTGTATTGGACCCATTGATCAGCGTCAAGCTGGAGCGCGTCGAGGTCCGGCGGGCGGGTGGCGGTGGGGTGGACAGCGGGTCGTCCTCCTCATCCGAGCTGAGCTCATCCGGGTTGGCGACGCCAAACTTGACGGCACCGCGCTTGCGGTGGCTGTGGCTCTCGGCGCTGCTGAGGCCCCGCAGGCGGGCAAGGGGCGCTTGGCTTTGCTTGCGGAGAAGGCGCGGCTGGTCCTCGAAGACGAAGGCCTGTTGCACCAGGGCCTTTTCCGGAGGGAAGGCCTGGCGGTATTGGTCGAAGGACAGGCGCGGCGTCGGAGCGTACTTGTGGTCGGGAGGGAACAGAGGCTCAGTAGCAACAAGTGGCTTGGACCGATGTGCCCAGGGGAAAAGCCGACTCCAAAAGCCGGATGTGAATGGCTGGAAGGTACCTGCACGGCCACCTGCCGTGGGGAGAGAGGAGGCGTACTCTGCAAGGTATGTGTCCCACTCCTGCGTAAGCATCGTCAGTACCTATTCCGTGAAGCCCGAGTAAAACACACCTCGTCTGGGTTTCCTCCGAGATACCTCTTGAGCGCCCAATCCGACAGACACCCGGAGATGAGGATGAGCCAATACCCTGCACTCAGGGTATGTTCCGCTCCAGTTCCCCATCCCTCACCGTCCATTATCCACAAGCGCTCCCATACATTAGACCAGGGGCTGACGTGTGCAAGCAGGGCGATCGAGAGAGTCACGCCAAATGCACCCGTGGCGGAGGATGCCAAGCGAAGTGTTGCACGTTGGGTGCGTGCAATCGGGAGCACCGTGAAAAGGCAGCAGACAGGAGCCAAAAACGCGAGGAAGATGCGCCGTGTCAGAAGGTTTGGATGAATTGAAACAGACAGAGCGAGCGCCAGTGATGTTCTGAGAGTTGGTGAAGCTAAGGACATCGCGCTCATGCAGAGTAAGGTTTCAGACTCACCCGCCGGTGATGCCAGTGAGGATGAACGCAACATATTTGAAGAGACCGGAAAGCACCGCAAGGGGAACGGAAGTCAATACCCAGACGGCCAGGAAGGGTTTGGGGTCCAAGGGCGCAGATGTCGTTTCATTGGGAACGACCAAAGCAAGGAAGGTGGACAGGTGGACTACAGCCCGCTCAATGAAGGTGGAGCAATTGGGTGTAGGCAAACGCACCTCCGAATGAATAGCCCGTAGCCAAACCCCCTACGCCACTTTCGAGGTAGAACCGAAGACGCCTTGGTTTCTTCTTGAGATCGAAAGAGCCTGGTGCTTGGAGAACATTGTTGCGAGGGTGAAAAGAATGAGTACGGTCGAGGGTAAGGAAAGCGCCTGCGAATGCAAGGAGGATAGACAGCACGAGGAGAAGGAGGGCGTAAGCCAGGCGGTACGGCGTGGATAGAAGCAGGTCGGTCAGCTCAGTCGAGGAATGGTTGGCGGAGGTGACCATATTGGTGGTGCAGCACCTGCGTGACCTGATATTGTCGTAAATTCGTTACTGGGTGAGATTTCAGTATGTAATAAGAGAGAAACACGGGTATCGCAGAGGTCAGAGGCGGCGCATAGATGTTGCGCGACGAGGCGTGGAGCGACGCAGCAGCAGAGAGCAAGTCACTCGGCCCGGACATTTCCGCGCACTCCCCACAAAGTGAACTCGATGGCTCCGCTGCACCGTGCTCTCCCCGCTGCCAGCCTCCGAGCACAACTCGGGCTGCGCACTCTCGCCAGGCCTCTGCCATGCACAAGGTTCAACTCTACCGTGCGGTCTCCGCCGCAATACGGCTCGGGCATCGAGCCTCCTCTCAAAGGCATCAGGATCCTCGACCTGACCCGGGTCCTGGCTGGCCCAACCGCGACCATGCTCCTTGCAGACCTCGGCGCAGATGTGATCAAGGTCGAGGAAGTCAGTCGTGGCGACGATACACGTTGAGTGTTGCCCCATGTGGCCGTCCTCTATCTCATCGAACAACTAGGATCGTGGAACCCACCCTCTGCTCCGCTATCCGAAGACGCGCCACAGGCTGCCTCACACCTTCCTCCCGAAGCGGCCTATTTTCTTGCAGCGAACAGGAACAAGCGCTCCATCACCGTCAACTTCAAGGACCCTGACGGTCTTGCCATTCTTCACAAACTCGTTGCGAAGGCAGATGTGCTCGTCGAGAACTTCATCCCGGGCAAGCTGGGTACCATGGGGCTTGGTTATGATGATTGTAGGGCCATTAACGACAGGCTGATCTACGCTTCAATCACTGGCACGCACCTCTTAGCACATGTTAAGATCCAAGCTGACGCAGTTCACAGGCTACGGGCAAACGGGTCCATACCGCCAGGCTGCCGGCTACGACGTTATCATTGAAGGAGAAGCAGGGCTCATGCATATGTCTGTGGCCCATCCCCATCTTGCACAATACTCACACTGACCGTATGCCTATGCCCCTAGAACCGGGGAACCTGACCGCCCACCATCCAAAGTCGGTGTGGCCGTGACCGACATTTCCACGGGCCTATATGCGCACGGTGCCATCATGGCTGCGCTCATCTCCCGTCAAAAGACAGGTCGGGGCGTTTGGATCGACTGTAACCTGTTTGAGACGCAGGTTCGCCCCCGCTTTCGCAATAGCTTCGACTGAACTGAGGAAGCTAGATTGCTGGACTTGCAAATATCGCGTCCAACTACCTGATCGCAGGAAAGGAGGCTGGAAGACACGGCACGGCGCACCCGTCCATCGTCCCGTACCAAGTATTCCCTTGCAAGGATGGTTTCATCATGATCGGCGCTGGCAACGACAAGCAGGTATGCCTCTCCCAACTTTTCATCCAGTCTCCGAGACAGACCCCACTCCAAGTTCAGGGTAATTGCGGAGAGGATACTTGACCAGCCGGAGCTAAGCGACGACCCGCGGTTCAGCACCAACGCCGCGAGAGTCGCCAACCGCGAGCTACTGGTGAAGATCATCACTGACGCACTCATGGAAGAGCCTCGAGACCACTGGCTGGATCTGTTTAATGGGCTTGGGTAGGCTCTAGACTGGCCTTTCCATTCGCCCCACCTTACAGTATCTTAGTGTCCCATTCGGTCCTATCAACAACATTCAACAGACGTTCGAGCATCCTCAGGCCATTGCGCGTGGCATCACCGTGCAAGTCGATGTAAGCGCAGTTACTGTAATCTGTTATGCCTGAGCCGCGACACTCAACGATCTATACGTAGCACCCACGAGCTGGAAAGATAAAATTGGTGGGGCCAGCTGTCACGTATAACGGCAAGAGGATGCCAGTAAACCGACCTCCACCATGGCTGTCCGAGCACACAGATGAGGTACATCGTTTGTTGCCTTGTCAATTGCATACCTCACACTGCCGGGCAGGTGCTGGGTGAGCTGGGGTACAGTGCAGAAGACATTGGACAGCTGCGCCAGGACGGTGTCGTGTAAGCGATCCCATCGGCATTGGATTATAGACTTCCGTTGTCGCATGTACCCTGTATGTATATGGCTACATGGAAGCAATCCTCTGCAAAGACCCTTTCAATCTCTCGGAAATTCCTTCTCAGCCTCTTCTGCCCAGCCACCGACCTTCTCCCAGACACTCCTAGCCTCCTCGGCCCATTCTTCCTTCTTGCTCTCGACGCACTCATCGCATACGCCTTCCTCCTTCCAGCGCCAGGCGGCGATGCGTGAAAGCGTCTCGAGCGGGCGCCCTACCCCGCCGTCGGCGAGCGCAGGCGAGATCACATCGTCCATCCAGCGATCCGCGATGATATCTGTGCACGCCATGTGCGATGCAGCCGCAACAGTGAACAGCACGGGCGTGAAGTCCGCGATGAGCGAGGCAAGCAGGCGGTGGCAGATCCGGATTGTCCGCAGCGAGAGCGCAGGATGAGGTGCGCCAGCGTCGGGCGCGTCGTGTGCCTCTTCTCCTGAAGGGTCGTGCTCGCCCTTCGGGTCGAAGTTCGTTGATGTGGCGACGCTGTAGAGCAACGCCTTCTTGGTCTATGCATTCACGTGTGAGGTTGTGTCGCGCCGAACATACATGCTGGCGTACCTCCAAAGAGACATCATACTGAAGTGCGAGTTCGAGTGCTTCCTCTAGGTGCCCGGTGTGGTGTGAATACGTAAAAGGAACTGGGCCGCCAGGGAAGAGGGTCTCGAGGATGTCATTTGCCAACCCGAATACCGGCGGCAGGTCGAGTTGTCGAGGTGAAGCCACTCTCAAGACGCCGGCAACGTGTTCAAAAGGGCTCTTTGGGGTTAATGAGCTAAGATTGTGTATTAGGCTTACCCATGAATGGTCTCGCAAAGCAACAAGTACGAACGTGCTTACGAATCATGGTACAGATGCGCGAGCAACGCCTCAAAGTCCCTAGAGTCGATAGCAAGATCGTCGGGAATCACAATGAGCGACGAGCCGGAATCTCCAACGGTTGTCGATAGTGCGAGGGCAGCGGGGTCGGTGGGGTCGAGTACCCAAGAGGCTAGCCTTGTCGAATGTCGAGCGAGGATCGATCTATGGACTCGGCACACCGACGGTGGTAGGCTAACGAGGAGCGAGCCGTCGGCGAACCAGAAGCGATCGCTCCGCTGGAGTTTCTTGGGCGCTATTCCATTGGCAAGAGCTGGAGACATTTCGGCCTGCTACTGACGCGGTCTCAAGCTGTGATAGTCAAGATGCAGGATGCATAATCACTGACGGAGATAAGATCCTGCTGACGAAGATGACAATGAGACGCTTGCGAAAGACGACATGCAGGCCATATAACGCTTTCAGAGTGGACTTTTATCTGCCCCATGGCTGAGTTGGTTACAGCGTCCGACTGTTATTCCTCCACAGGGAATTGCCATCGGAAGGTCGTGAGTTCGAGCCTCACTGGGGCAGTATCTTTTGCCACCATTTTCCCTTACCCCGTTACCACATGCGCAGCCGCCTGCGCAGCGGCCGCCGGCGACACTGCGCATGCGCGCTATGAACTGGCCTCCAATCCCCCTACTGCGCTTGCAATTTTGCAATCACAACTTCTGTCGAGTCCCAAAAGACCCTTGCCCGAATTCCGAATTCCCTGCTTCCATCGAGCTCACAGGTTCCCTTTATCATACTAGCTCACACGGCAAACCCTTTGAGACTTCCATGCACAGCGCGGGCTGGTGCGTACATGACAAATTCGGCCCTACGTTGGGGAGCAGGCTTCCAGAGCCGTTGGGCAGTCCCGACGGTGCCGTTCCTCCCCGCCTCCGTGCCCAGCTACCAATTGCCTATCTGGGATCGAGCTTGCTCTGGCGAGGCCCCTCTTCGCCAAGTGCGAACATTCCGCGGGCGCACGGGGCCCGGGCCCAACCCGTCCCTCCCGTGGTCATCCGGACGCATCGTGTCGGAAAGCGTTTCCTTTCGCACCTGCGAAGCCTGACCATTTCGTATGTTCCGAGTCGCTCCAGCGCATCAGCGCACCCATCCAGGCGTGTTCACGTCGCTGCGTGAGCATGCGTCGCCCTGTGGGGAAACCATCACTTTCGCGGCGGGCAGCTGACATAGCGTGGCCGACCCCTCTCGCACTGTTGCCTTATCTGGCTCTGCGACTGACCCATCGCTGCTTATTGACCACTGAGTCACAGATTCGACAAGCTCCGTGGCCTCGTCAGCACCTGCTGGCACAAAGCTCCGGCCTGTATGCTATCTATCATCGCAGCATCGCACTTTTCCAGTGGAAGGATGCCAGGATGGGGCTTCCAGCGGACTTGGTGGGTCCAGGGGCGCCTGCGAGTCATCCACGTTCTTAGTCCAGTGTGGAGCCGGTCTCTGGCGCTGGCGCGCCCCCGACGCACGATGACTCGGTCCACCTTGCGCCTCGTACTCGTTCTCTCCAGCCAGCACGGCGCTCAAACATGGCATCGTCTTTCCAGATGCCAGCCTCGTTCTCTAGCCGGCGCACGTTTCACTAGGTCACTAGGGCGGGCTGCTTCTACTCTAGTCGTTCTCTGTTTGGCCGCCTTCCGCGTGTTTTCCACCACCTCGCACCTGAATACCCCAGATTTTATTTGCTGCCCCGCACCAGAAGAGCTAATTCGAGCCTGCAGGGTCTAGATTGTCGACATGGGGTGCCTGTACAACTCCGTGATTGGTCTTCTTGTAGGTGAGACTGACGACTCCCTTGGTGCCGCACGGCTCAGGATTCACATGCACGCGCAAAACGCTCATTAGAGTGTCTCTGTACAGCGGGGTTGCTCCGATGTTCATCTATCCAGGACGTCGACAGTGCTGCGACAGATTTGGGGACGTTGCCAGCGACCCCACATGCCGTGCCGAGACAGCCCATACATGTCTCCTCTCTTCACACCTTACATGTAGCCTAATTCCTCGAGCCTTGTAATTGATGATATCATTGCATGTCTCATATCCAGTGGTGTGCAGGGCGACCGGCTCTCACGCGTGCACGCACAGAACTTGCGTCGCGCAAGACGTCATTGTGCCTACACGATGCGTGTACAGAAGGGAATTCCCCGTTATCAGCAACCTTGGAGCATATGTCGCGGGTGGCTACCGCGCACAACGGCGCCGCCAATCAGGCGGACCAGTACGCGTATGTACTACGTGCTGCCTTGATGTGCGCAGCGCGCAGCTGGGGGCGCCAACACTGGCACTGGCACGCCGCCGCGGGGCGCGTGCCGCGGGGACAGCAAGGGGCGCAGATGGCAGCTGATGCAGATGTGCGGTGCCAAAGTTGGGGTGCCAAAGGCGGCCTACAGCCGCGGGGCGCGGGGGTTGCGCAGGCTGCCGGGCGCCCGCCGGCGCGCCCGAGTCCGGTGTTGTCGGTCTTCCCGGCCAGCACGCGCACGCGGCGCACCGCCTCGACATCAGCCTCCAGGCTCGAGCAGCCGAGCCCTTGCCCTGCTGCATTGCCATCTTTGGCATGGCTGGCCAGCAGCTGCGCGATAACAAGGGCCGAGCGCGATTCAGTAGTGCTGGAGGCTGCGCGGTGCAGGCACCGGACCCCATCAGGGGGCGCTAACTGGCACGGCCACGTATACCCCCGGCTCGAGGGTATTCGCGGACACAGCGTGCCGCCATCAGCGCCTACTAGAATAGTGCATAACGGCACCAGTTCCTCCGCGCGCAAGTGCCAGTGTGACCTGCGCTGCGCAAGCAGATGAGCAAGCTGCGTACTCAGTACTCAGGTGGCGGCGTGGTGCTGGCTGGGGAAATTCGCGTGATTATGGTGCTGGCTCTACGCACGCTCGACGTCATCTCCGTCAGCACTGTTGCTTTGCATCTCACACTGCGTAGAGATCTCCCGATATACTCTCACACTCCACAAAACGATAAACCATATTCGTTAAACGTTGGATTGGCAACATGGGCGTCGTCGTGCTTTGGATGAGCCCCGAAGTACAATGAGTAAGTAAAACAACTCCGAAACAAGTGTAAGTAGATCCTTGTCGTGCCGAAACGTGAAGGTCGTGAGGGAGTACAAGCCGATCGAAGCGCGGTGATAATTGTAAGCGCACATGTCGTAAATGAGACAAAGAATGAGAGTCAGGAATGAGCATATGTCGGGGGTCATTGAGACATAGAGGGTCGGATAGATGAATAGCGAGAGCCGTGCAGACATCGGGTATTGTTGAATAGGGAAATGACAAGGCGGGCATGTCGAAACACCTCCATGCGAACAACAACAGATGCGGTGGTGGCTGAGCACCAGCCGGTAGTTGTGTCGCGGTGCATCTTGCAGCGCCAAGCTAGATCGTACGGCAGCCAAGGGCCGTGGTCGGAACCATAGAAGACGGAGTCATAGTAGACTGTGTCGGGGGTGTAGATTGTGCGGCGGTGTAGGGCGGTGTTAGACGCCAACCTTGGTCCTGATTCTTCTCTTTGCACGGAAGATGGAGAAGCGAACGCCCAGGGCGAAAGCCTGCCACTGTCGCCGGAGCTGTTGGCCACACGTGGGACTGGAAAGAATGACGCGCCATCAGTGTCATGAAAGACAACAAGGAGAACAAGGACACTCACGTCCACTCAGGCGCTTCTTGTTGGGACATCACATCCTCCTCCGGCTTGGGAGGCTCAGGGATGGATTCGGGCTCATCGACCACCCATCTCGAGGGGAGAGGGTGGGAGAGTGGCTCCTGGAACGGAGCTTGCGGCGGGCGAGCTTTTCACGGCTCTCCTCGGCGATCTCCTCAAAGGACCGGCGGGAGTAGCAAGTGGACTGCTCGTATGCGGAGTAACGTGCGCGGCGGCGCTCGCGGGGGGAGGCGCTGCGCAGGCGAGCGCGCTCGTCATCTTCTTCCTCATCGGCATCCTCATCATCGCCGCCGCGTTCCCAGGCGGGGCGGCGGGCAGGAGCAGCCACTATAGGGAAGTGGCGGAAATCGGGGTCGTGGAGGTTGCCGTCTGGGTCCTCATAGACTGAAGTGGGTGAGGAGGAGGTGGAGGAGGAGAGGTAGGATGGGTCAAGCAGGCGAGAGATGTCCGCGACCTTTGGCTGGCGGTGGTGGGAGAAGTGACGCTTGGCGGGGGAGGGGGTGTGAGATACGCGTAAGGGAAGATCGTACTGGAAGGTGGGGGACATTGTGTCGCGGGGGGGTTAGCTTGCGGGGAGGGGAGGGCGGGGGTTCCGGGGACGATAAAGCGATGGGACGATTGTCAGTCGGATTTATAGTCTTGTAGGAGAGCCGCCAGATGACTTGCCGTGCGTGGACCCGCGTGGCTGGCCGTGTGCCCGGGCTCTGTCCATCGGGGAATCTCATCTCGGTCTTTTCTGGACGGTGAGTCAAGCGACTCCGTCATCCCCCGCGAGCCCGGTTGCTCATCGGGCCTAGCAGATCCTCCCCTTGCTGGGCCCATCGTCCCGTCTCCACCCGTCGCCCAGTGCAGCTGCTCTCCTCTTACTCCCCGCACGGCGGGCCCCAGTACCATGTCTACATCCCACTCCTCCGACGTTCCTCCCTCCGCTCTTCTCCACCCGCCCACCGCGGCTCTTTGACAGACGCCCTGCCCACCGCCGGCGCCAATCCCCCGACCTTCTAGCGCGCCTCGTTTCCCCACGCCCTCCCTTTCAGGCGCGCACCCGCCCCAGCGCGCCCCGTACATGTCGCGTCGCGGCCGCAGCTTCCCCCCGCACTCGGTCTCTCCCCGATGCCCAAAGCCCCAAACTCCGAGTCTGCCCTTCTCAGCTCACCATCCTCCCCCGGCACCAAGTTGTCCCTATGCGGAAGTCCCTACGGTAATCCGTCCCCATCTATCTCGGCGCCCCTCGGCACGTCCTCATCCATCCCTTCGCGCCCTTCCGCCTCGTAAGCCGCCTGCTGCGCGCGCTAAGCGGATGTTGCTTATGGGAACCGTCGCCACCCTTACTTCAGCGACGCCCGCTCTCTAAGTCTTGCATTAGCGAGCCCTGCTACCTTAGTAATCACCATCATCTTAGTGACCCACTCGGTGTGGGTGTACTGCAGGTGCCCCTCAGACTGACTGAGGTGTGTGGATGGGCTTCTATACTTCTATGTAGACTATCATCGAAAACTGTTTGCGACCCACGATTCCCCGCTGTCCACGTATGCCCGAATCCCTATTCGGGCATGAGTGATGATAGTGCACTCTATACTTACTCGCTACATAGCACTGCCGCCTGACGTTCCGAAAGCCAAAAGATATTCCATCCGAATGAGCTGATCGTTCGACCGCCTGACATCATGCATATTCCTGGGGTCCGTACCATAAAGTTCCGCACGGACCCCCTCCGAAAAATGCAGAGAAAATTTGCTCGCAATTCGCTGGAAATATTCCTGCTTCCGTTCTCGGAGTGAGCATCAGCTCAGCATCCCACGGCCGCAGTCTGCCGCACCCGGCTCGAACGCGTCGACGCGGTTGTGGCGCGGTGTCCCACG